TACATTAAATAAAGTATTTTTTTAAATAATAAAAATAAAATATTTAAAATTAAATTAAATTGAACTTTTAAAATAAATTCTAATTAAATGAAAATGAATAAAATGCTAAAAATTAAACATTTAAAATTTAATTAAATTGAACTTTTAAAATTACATTAAATAAAGTTTTTTAAAAATAATCAAAATAAAACATTTTAAATTAAATTAAATTGAACTTTTAAAATTTTAAATTAAAATTAAATGAAAATGAATAAAATACTAAAAAAGCTAATATTTAATAAAAAATGTCGAATTTTAAAAAAATATTTAAAAATCTAAATAAAACACAAAAACTAATTAAATCATGAAAATGTTCAATTCAAATAATGTTAAAATAAACATTTTTAAAAATAAATTAAATCATGAAAATGTACAATAATACATCAAAATATTTTAGGACCATTAAGATGAAAAAATACTACCTGATCTATATCTACCTGCTACTGATCTATTAATACTATACAATTAATGTCAGTATTTATGTTACATAATATATAAAAAGATGAGAATGACTCATAACTCAAGAAAATAATGATAAGAAATGATCAATGCATAAATAAAATAATTAATTAATAAAGGCATGAATAAAGGCAGTACAAAAATATTACCATGATCTATATATACTATATAATTTTAGTGTTTTTGTTACATTACATAATGAGATAAGAGTGACTTATAATTGTCATAAAAATAATAATAAAAAAATCAATAAAAAACGTAAAAGTCCTAAAATCAGCATAAAAGCAGTTTAAAAATATTAACCTGATCTATAAATGCTGTACAATTTTCAGTTATCATTTTTTATTACATTACATAATAAGATGAGAATGACTCGTAACTGTCTTAAACATAAGGATCAATGCAAAAAAATTAAATAAAAAATCTTAATGGTCGTAAAATATGATCACTTTTCTTTATACAAAACATAATGTATATTTATTTTGTTTTTGTATGTAATGTAATTGGTTTAGGGATGTCACCACCAGAGGGCGATAATAAAACACCAAGAAGATTATGTGAAAATATGTGACTGCAAACCTTAACAAAAGCTCTGTTTTCATCTTTCATGTTGTAGCCAGTGAAGATCTCTGTGAACAGATCCATAACTGTTAGTAAATGCAGATGTTACAGCTGGAATGCAGCGTCAGAGCAGTTATTGAAGCTTTAATTAGCTTTAACTAGTTGTTGTGCGGGACATTCCTCTACCGTCTCTCATTTGTCTGCAGATGTGTGCTTGTGAAACATATATGTGACCCTGCAGCACAAAAGCAGTCTTAAGTCGCTGGGGTATATTTGTAGCAATAGCCAACAATACATTGTATGGGTCAAAATTATACATTTTTCTTTTATGCCAAAAATCATTAGGATATTAAGTAAAGATCATGTTCCATGAAGATATTTTGTAAATCTCCTACCATAAATATATCAAAACTTCATTTTTGATTAGTAATATGCATTGCTAAGAACTTCATTTGAACAACTTTAAAGATGATTTTCTCAATATTTAGATTTTTTTGCACCCTCAGATTCCAGATTTTCAAATAGTTGTATCTCAGCCAAATATTGTCCGATCCTAACAAACCATACATCAATGGAAAGCTTATTTATTCCGCTTTCAGATGATGCATAAATCTCAATTTCTAAAAATTGACCCTTATGACTGGTTTTGTGCTCCAGGGTCATAATTGTACCTGTGCAGAGAAACACATGACAGAGCTTGGTCGTATCAAACAGTCCACTAGAAATTATTTTCAGAAACGCACATTTGTAAAACATGCGCATGGAAACTGATAATCTGGTTACACTTTATTTTAAGGTGTCCTTGTTACAGTGCTGGATTTCACATTTAAGTACTGAGTAATATTAATTTACTACTATACGGTTAGGGTTTGGTTTAGGGTTACTTGCATGTAATTATGCATGATTTATTGTTATTATAATAGTAAGTACATGTAACATGTGTAACAAGGACACCTTAAAATAAAGTGTTACCGATAATCTCTGCTTAATAAGGATTCTTTCATTCATTTATTAATGTTGAAATGATTGTCTGACTGAGTAAAAGGCTCAGAATCTGGGTTTGTAGCTGGGAGTAGTTACTTAAAGGGGTCATAGGATGCTACATGCACTTTTACAAGTTGTTTGAACTGAAATGTGTGTTGGCAGTGTGTGTACAACCACACTATAATGATAAAAATCCACCCAGTGTTTTTTTTTAATCTGGTTAAATCTTTACCCCTTTCTCAAATCGAGCCGATCTCAGATGCCTGTCTGTGTGACGTCACAAAAACAGGCCCCTCCCA